TTGTGTTGATGGTAAACATGCAACTCAAGATGTTACAGAAGTAACACAGATTAAAGGCAAACGACGAAGTAAAAAATTCCAGGGGGAAGTTAATTCTCTTTACTTGGAATCTCTAACCCAGTTATCAACTGTAATTGAAGAAAAAGAGTACTGGGAGTATAGCATGGGCGAGGTTTGTTGATGCACACCTATTTATGTTACTTTTTTTTATTTTTTTATTTTAACATAGCTAGAATGGCATTATTGTCTTATTTTTATCCCATGATATTTGTCGAATCATTATGAGAAGAATGTCTTGGTAATTGGATTATGCTGGTATGTGTTTCCCATTTGCTATCATCTGAATGAATTGTAATTGGATTCTATTTTTTATTAGTGATATATTATCCTGACTCTTGTAATTGTTAGATTTTCTTGTTACTGGATTTCTTTTTGTATAGGTCATTTTCTTGTATATATAAGAGGTTTCCCATCAAAATATCACTTTCACTGATGCAAAGGCTTTTTTTTTTTGTTTTGTTTTGAGCACGTTGTTGTGGTGCTTGAATTTACTACTATTATTTCTATACATAAAATATGCGGTGGTTTGCAACTTGACTTATGATTAGATAACATATTTCTGAAATTGTAGAACCTCTTGTGTTTGTGTTTGCTCAGTTTTTTTTAATGGTTGCAGAGAACTTTCCTTCTCAAGTTTTTATGTGATGAGTTGCTTAACTCTTCCCTGATACGCCAGCACCTTGAGCAATGTTCAGAGTTGTCTGCTGAGTTACATCAGAAATTGCGTGCACACTCCGTAGAGTGGAAAAGCCTGAAAACTAGAGAGGATATTTTATCTGCAAAAGCTGCCAAAATTGATACATACTCACTAAATACTGCTGGAGAAGTTGGTCTTAAGGAAGGAATTGCTTCTTTATTATCAAGTTCTGGTAAATGTCTGGTCCAGTCACATACTGCAGTTGACAATCCTAGTAATTTTGGGGTATTTGTTGATAGTCTGCCTTCGGAAGAGATTACCAAAGAGAAGTATAGGTTTGACAGTGTTGATAAAAGCATATCTGTGACAAATTCAGATTCTGATAGCCAAAATATGAATTCCATAGATGTAGAGGGACAATTTAGAAATGTCTCTGGTGCTGTGGAGTCTCAATGTACTGACAAATCTCCCAAGTCTTTATCATCGCCAAATCACATGTCTCAAGAAATAAATGGTGCAGCTCATGTCCAGGCTAACCACCAGAAATGTGAGGGAAGGGACATATCTACTCCTGTGACATGCCAGCAAGGAGGAGTGCCTGTTGATGTTCCTCAGATTACTGTGAATGAGTCAGAACCATACCAACTTGAGCTCAATGCTATCAGGCGTGATATTTCACTATTGCAGGACTCCATAACTAGTGTAGTATCACAGCTGCTGAAGCTCTCTGTTCGCCGGGAATTTTTGGGCATTGATTCCATTGGTCGACTGTACTGGGCTTCGGCTTTGCCCAGAGGACGTTCACGGATAGTTGTTGATGCAAGTGCTGCATTGCTGCATGGAAGAGGAACATCGTTTAGCAGAGACTATGTGGAGAAGTTTTCTGTTCTGCAGCATTGTTCACTATCTGACAAAAATTCCTCTCCTTTAATGTCTCAGCCTAGTAATACTTTGGGCAATAGTTCACCATGGATTGCTTATGAAACTGATGCTGAAATCGAAGAGCTCTTAGGTTGGCTGGATGATAGTGACCCTAAAGAAAGAGAACTGAAAGACTCAATTATTCAGGGCCCAAAATCAAGATTCCAAGAGTTTCTTAATGCACAGACTGAAAATCAGGTTGAGGATCAAGGACCTATTTCTATGCCAAGAAAAAGGGAGAAAACAGTATCTAATTCTCTTGTTACAAAGGCGACTGCCTTGCTGGAAAAGAAATTTGGTCCCTTTGTTGAGTGGGATAATATTGAGGTGTTGAATAAGCAAAATAAAAAGGCCAGAACAACTAATGATGAAAAGTTGTATAGGTGTGAATGCCTAGAACCCATATTGCCTTCTAGGAAACACTGCACGTGTTGTCACAAAACTGTTTCTAGTGATGTTGAACTTGATGGACACAATGATGGCAAGTGCAATGCAGGTCTTCCAGCCTCAGAGAAGAATAAGGATAAAAGTGGATCTTCTAAAGGAAGAGGGAACTTAAAATGTGATATCTCAAATGAGAATTCCAGAGCTGATGCAGAAACAGCTGCAACCAGAGTCAGTGGGTGTTCTAAGCTTAGCTCAAGATTGATTAAATTTTCAAATGAAGAATCCACATGCCCATTTAGTTTTGAAGATATATGTTCCAAGTTTGTGACAAATGATTCTAACAAGGAACTTGTCAGAGAGATAGGTCTTATTGGTTCAGACGGTATCCCATCCTTTGTTCCTTCTGTATCTTCTTTTGTTAGTGATTCTACGTTATTCTTAGTTCAAAAGGATGATAGCATTGTTGGTGGTGTGTCCAAAGTGTCAGAAAGCCAGGTTTCTCAAGGAAACACTGATGGAGTTGGCACATGTCTTGACCATAGATCAGGCATTTCTACTGGAAGGTTAGCTGCAAATGAAAGCAATAAATCCAACAAATCATCCTTGGGAGAACAAAGAGATGGGAAATTCTCTTTTTGTAGTCCTGCTTCAGATACAGGAGTTGATGGCTGCTGTGTGGTTCCTTTGTCTTCATTGAGACCGTTAGATGGTAAAGCTTTTCACATTTTGAGGCAGCTGAAGATTAATCTACTTGATATGGATGCTGCACTCCCGGAAATTGCTCTAAGACCATCAAAGGCCCCGTCTGACCGAAGACAGGCTTGGCGTGCATTTGTTAAATCTGCAGAGACTATATATGAGGTTTGTCTTATTTCTGTGGCTCTATCACATATACATTTCCTTTAAAAGGCATTGCCAACTCAACCCTTTTCTCGTTCCTTTTTGAGTCTAATTAGACAACAATTTTTTTGAGTTATAAATGCCACTTTGCACTATTCCTCCAATATCAGTGAAAAACAACTGTTCTATGTTTGTACATGAATTTTTTGAACAATACTTATACTGTATTTCTGTATTTCTATATTTCTATTTCAAGCAGATTGGAGATGAATGTGAACTTGTGTTTGTTAACTTATGTCCGTTCCATTTATGCAGATGATTCAGGCAACAATCACGCTGGAGGATATGATTAAGACAGAGTACTTGAGGAATGACTGGTGGTACTGGTCATCGTTCTCAGCTGCTGCCAAATCTTCTACTTTGCCTTCCCTTGCCCTTCGCATATACTCCCTTGATTTAGCAATTATATATGAGAAAATGCCCAATTCAAATGTTACTGACAACTCTGAACCTTGTGCCATAGTGGAACAGAAATCACCGATGACTGTGGATGCAGAGAAATCCAAACCATGCCGAAAGTCAAACAGAAAAAGGAAGGAACTAGATGGTTAATCTCATACTGTATCCTTGGCTCAGAAGATCAGAAAGCTGGTCGGTCACTTTATGTGGTGTGATGTGGTCATCCACCGGTATGATTGGGCCATGGGCCAACTTCAGGTTATTAAATGTGGCAGCCACAGCTGCTGGTGTCTCTTGCGTGCTTGTACATATAGGTAAAGCTGACCTGCTAACTTGGATGCTGGTTTTTTTGGCTAAGCAGAATTTGTAGGATTATCTGCTTTCAGTGAGGCACCACCAGTATGAGGGAATTGTGAGGATGCGTCCAATTTTGAAATGATTTCTGCTGCAGCTGTCCAGTTGGCTGCTCCATTGCGAGAAGTACCATTTTTCATTTTTCTAGCAGAGTCTGATCCATATATGTATACAAATGGAATTATTGTAAAGAAGGAATAGAAGAAAAGTAGTTAAAAAGAAAGGATGGGAAAGAAAGTCAGAAAAATGTTAAATTGAGCAGTTGTAGGCAATATTTCATTCTTTATACTTTTTCTCTCACCCCCACCAAAATCCTGCACACGCATGCCCTTGATTTTTTTCTTGGGCATCTGCAGATGTGTTAGAATGCAGGGTAATTATTCAAATCAAATATTTTCCCCATCTGCTTTATTGTGCTTGCCTAGTGCGAGTTCTGTTTGATTTGTTTATTTGCTTGTGGCATTAATGCATATGCATTGCACACTTGGAGGTGGCACGCACAAATACAATCACTTGAATAAGTGGTTGCGGTGCCTGTTATGCTAATTTAACAAAGCTAGTACTAAAGTGTAGCTGCGGATTTGGCAACCTAGGAGTGTGTTTGGGGGTAGGTTGAATAGGTTCTGTATGCTTTGTCATTGCTTACTTGATGATCAATAGGTCCGAATGTGTACAAAGCTTTGGATATTAGATCTGTTATGCAATAGAAATATCCGACATAGTATGATTGTTTCGAGTGCTTGCTAATAATCATCGAAGATTTATCTGTGTAATTAACTTGCATGGACTTGTGTTGTGAGTTGCTGCAAATTTGGTGCTGGAAGCTTCCGTCGTATCTTCTAACAATTTCGTTGAGAATTGAAGATGATCCATATAATTTTCAGTTAGCTTGGCCTCAACCAAAAGGGTTGACTAGCAAATTGTACTGGATGGTGTTAAATGAGTCTTTTTTTTTATTTCCTTTAAAGATTCAAGAAATTTTTTTTTGAATTCTCATTCATGCCTTTCTACCCTTTTTATTGACTACTTTGCCGTAGGTGTTTTGCGAAAATTATTAATAAAATTAACGATAATGATTGTATATGCGTACTGGACTACTATACTTAAGGTGTAAATATTATTTGATGAAAAGCACTATACGAAATGGATTGAAAAGATGATACAGCTTAGCCATTGTTGTGGGTCTCACCCTTGATTTGATTCTTGATTATGTTGTCCAAATGTTTTCTGAAAATAGGGTATTCAGGAGAAGGAAAATAAAGAAAACTCAAATTTTGTATAGTTACTAATTATGTATTTATACTTGAAATAAACTTGGAAGTACAACCAACACGTGACGCCATTGATCAAATTTTCTAGACTTTATTTATTGAACTTGGCTAGAGGACACTCTAACCCCTAGGGGTCCAAGCCGCCCAAACCGGGCGTTAACTGTATCGTCCACATTATACGTCTAATTATACAATATTATTACTTTTTTTTTTTCTTAATTAAGCATCTAATTTAAAAAGCACTGGTACATTATGATTCAGCCTTCATAATACATATTACTCCACCAACCCAATGGTTCTCCTTCATGGTTTTGGTGCTCAGTTTCAGATACCACCAACACATCAAAGTAACTCCTCCCATCATCACTCCCATCCTCCTCCTCTGACTGAACCCTTTCAACTGGGCCCACACATCCACCATAGTTGTCAGCTGGAAAGTATGAATCAACACTGTCAACGACCAGCTGGGGACTACCCTCGTCCACCACTGCACTTCCAACACTCCCACTACTAAGGTGGTCCTCCACCCTTGTGCTGAAAATAGGAGCTATATTATCTACCGGAAGTGGATCAACTTTCTTGTCATATAATGGTTCCTCAGGTACCTCTTTAGCTTGAAGTTGAAGCTTCTCATTTAAGGATTCCACCTGCGGAATAGTCAACATATCATTAAGATAATCAATCCACCATACTTAGAAAAAGTCCACTTGTTAATTGGTTTATGGCTCAGCTTGCATACTCCTTTTTTAAAAAGTTTATCAGTCTCTTTCACAAAAGGAGGTCTTAAAGCATATTTTGAGAAATCTACAAAGGTATATTCGCATAGTTATTTTGAAAGTGGCTTCTTTGCAAAGGAGGTGGGGTTCAGAACAGATGCTACTCTTGGTAGTTTGTGATTATTATAGTGACGAATCCCATGTGTAGGGCCCTTTATGGATAGCCACCAATCACCTTCCAAGTGATGTGTCGACTTGTTTCCCTATGCTATGATGGAGTTCTGATTGTGAAGGCACTAATTCTATCCTGAACAGTAACTCAAACCCACAACTGTTGACAGACTATTTCTATTCTATTCACCAAATATTTCATCACACTTCAATCCATAGCTGTAACCATATTGTAGCATTCCTCAATTCTAAAAAGAAAAATCTTAAAATCGCCATTGCATAGATACAATGATTCAGTTTTTTCAATAGTACACTACACATGTATAAATATACCTCAGATTTGAGTTTCTCATTCTCCTTCGCAATTAAATCATAAGATGAAAGTAGGGAATCATAGGAAGACTTGAGAATATCATAATCCCTTTCAAGTTGCTTGGTCTTCCATCGAGCTCTGCGGTTCTGAAACCACACAGCCACCTGCCTGGGCTGCAACCCCAGCTTCTTAGCCAATTGGGTCTTCCTCTCAGGCTCCAGTTTGTTCTCCTCCCCAAAGCTCTTCTCCAACAGATGGACCTAACCATCAATCACAAGAGTGTCACAACATGAATATTGTTGCCATGCTATCACAGGACCTAATCATCACCTTTTTTTTATATTTTAATTTATGGGAATTCAACCTAGTATTGAGCGAGTTTACAACAACTCACTGATCAAGTAATTGAGCTAGACTTCTTGATTAACCTTTGGCTTTGATTGCAATAATACAAATTAATCTAAAAAACCAAGCAAGCAAAATCCTTGCAGAATATCTCTCACATCAGTACCATCTAATCAGTAAATTAATAACACCACCAAACATTCAACTCAAGGCAAGTTGTCTTGATTTACTACTAATAGTAAGAAATGGTTTCAAAATCAATCACTTTATTGCCACAAAATGAAATTTCTCTTTAATGCCAACCACTTTTTTCCCCCACATATTGTATTAAATTAAAAAGCCAAACTAAAAGCAATTCATTTAAATTTCAAGCTATTATGACAACAACAATTACTTTCATTCAAATTGGTGATGAGCCTGACAACAACAACAACAAAAGCAATTCATTCAAATGTGAAACTACAAGCCGACCTGATCGGAACTGAGGCGGTGCTTCTTCTCCGGGGACTGCTTTTCATAATACTCCTCATCATACAGTTCATCCGGCGAGGTGAAGAAAGGTCGCCTCTTAGAGGCTTCCTCCATGCTCATCATCGATCTCCCTGCTTTCAGTCAATCCCCAAAACAAAACCTCATCAATTAACACTCTTTTACGTATCAACCCTTTAGACACCATCTGTGTCACAACATAAGAATACACATAAAACTAAGAAAAAAAAAATTATTTATTTGTCACACAATCACACCCCAAGTTTGATACACAATCAAGTTGCCTCCTTTAACACAAACCCAAATCGAGTCGTGTCTTTTTTCTTTCTTACTTTCTTTAAATCTTCCTTAACCCGAAGCATCTTCCCAGCAACCAGACACAATTTTCATAAAGACAAAACTTGAGGTAGTTGCATATACGTTGTTTTTCAATCATAACCAAAATTTTAGCTCAATAATTCATGCAATAGTAGTTTGATTAAAAGTCAAGACAACATAAATGATCTCAACTACGATAGAAAAAAACAGCCGGAAACAACAATACTAACAAGTAACACGAGCTACCCCACTTGGTTAAATTTAAAATTTTGAATGAAAAAAAGGGGTAAGTAAGAGAAAATCTAGAGAGAGAATGACCTCGAAAAGCGAGTTCAGTGGTGCCGAGGAAGAGCATGTTGTTGGCGCGAGAAGCAGAGGCGTCAAAGAAAAGGCGTCCAGATTCCATATGGCAAGAGAGAGATTAGTATTATAGTGATACAGTGTGTGAGTTCTTACTTGTTAGTGCGGATTATTAGAAAGTTGTTTTTGAGAATTTAGAAGGGTTGTTGTTGTTGTTGTTGTTGTTAAGTGTGGATTAGAAGATCATGAGCTTATGACGGAAGAAGCTTGTGGTCCAAAGCAACCTGGCCGGAGTCTCCAACGGGCATATGCAAGATCCCATCATACACCGCCAGATCCTACCCACCACCACCGTCTTTCCTCACTTTCAGGGACCGAGATTTTCCTCTCTCTCTCTCTCTCTCTCAAGATGTCGTCAACGCACTCTCTCTCTCTCTCTCTCTCTCTTTGTGAGTGTCTTCTGCGACTAAACTTGTTTGAACGAAGCCCACTGCCTTTTATAAGCCTTCCTTCCTGCCTAAATTACTTATATGTCCTTTCTTCCTTACTCTTCCATTTTTATTTTTTTACCATCAGAATGATGATCATGGAATCTATAAATTTATACACTCAAACTCCCTACTATTAGTTTTTTTCTTTAGCTAAGAAATCTTTAGTTTGAAACTTTATGCCTATCTCTTTATAGATAAATATTCCTTTACATAATTTTCTTTTAGATTATATATGCTTAAGAATCATAATTATTTGTTAATATTATTAGGTGGATTAATAAGATTTTTTAATCACAAACTATACTATTGAGTATATGGATCAATTTATATAAAGTTATTTTGGTTTGATTAATTCACTCGAATTAAAGTTTTGAATGTGTAATTGTGTTAAATATTTAGAATAAAAATTTTGTTGTTAGAAATGGTATAACTAACTTGAGGAGGATTGTATCTAATAAAGAATATTTGTAATTTTCATAAAAGAAAATCTAGTTTCTAAATGGTACTTCACTTACCGGCACTTCACTCGACCTTTTGTCTGTCGCCTCCTATTTAGAGGCCCCCTGCTTTACCCGGAGCGGCCGGTACTGAATTCGGAACGGCCCGTTCCGGATCCTTCGAATATAGGGAAAATTTTCAACTGGAACGGCCCGTTCCAAAAATCAGAACGGCCCGTTTCC